CCACTGCTAACAGAGGCAGATGCCATGGCATCTCAACCTGCCACCGGAAATGCCCCTGCGAGCTGCCGATGCCACTATTTGAGCTAGCTGTCTCTCTATTATCTGTCGTGTGTACTACTGTCAAAATATAGTGATTCAAATTTTCAGCACATATGACAAAAACCTACTAAAAGTTACAACTGCAACATTAATAAAAGGTATAATTTGCTTTACAAGATTAGCTCCAAGGTATATCTACAGCTTCTTAATTAGATTGAATGATACCCTATGTTTATAGCAGTAGTAAGTATATCCACTTGTGTGAGGGTGTGTGTGCTAATGAGGAATTTAGCTAGTGTGTGGTCACTAGGCACACTAGTCTAAGTTACACTGCGTTTTGATGTGGTTTCTAAAAATAGACAATATTAATATATATTTTTTAACAATGAAAAATGTTTCCTCTCACCTCCATCACCGTACGTCTCCACGCCATATCCATCCTGCAGCCCGTTACTCCAGGTGCCCTCGTACCTGGCCGGTGTGTTCAGGCTCTGTCGAACTCCGTACCGACCCTTGAATCCGTGAGTCCACTCTCCCCGGTAAATCCACCTACCCTTCGTTTCTACGCCGAGTCCGTGGCGTTTCCCTTGTGCCCAGTAGCCTTGGTACACATTCCCGCTGGGCCAGGTGTAGACGCCAACCACCTCAAAACCGTTGGACCACGAGCCCGAATACTCGCCCTGGCCCTTGGGTCCGGTGCACACACCGTGCCCGTGGGCTTTGCCGTCCTCCCAGCCTCCACAGTAGGTGCCACCATCGTCAAAGTCGAATCGACCACCCGTCATTCAGAAACGGAGAGTAAAAGTAGCCTACTACTCGGGGGCTTATTAAGATTTCCAGAGTGTGCGAGTTGTTTTCGGATGCGAGATAATGTTGACGGGGAAGCCCCAATGGGAAAATGAGCTTGGGAACGGGGAGTGATAGCGGCTGGGTGCATCAGCAACGCTCTGTTGGTTAGTGAAAGCGGTACGTGGGAGGGTGAGAGGCGGCCGCCACGGCTGCCAGAGTCGCTCCACAACTGCTGAATTCTGGAAGACACTCTCTCCTCTCTCTGAATTGAAGACTGCTAAGCTATTCAAGATAAAACAATATGGGACTTCCTGTTTGACTTTTCAAAATAAATGCCAACCCTTCAACTATCTAAATATGAAATTGCAATTGCAATTACAAGAATGTAATTATTCTATATTTTTGTGGATTTTTTCCAAATGGTACTATTAGCTGTATCTTAGGAAGCCTACATAGGGCAACATTGCTTTCCCCAAAATCATTCAGAATAATGCTTTTATTTTGAAAGTAAAAACCCCTTCAGCTTATACTTCAGGCCTGTCATGCACGCAGGAGGGTGTATTACGGTTTTCATGTAAAATCTGTTATACTATTAAGTTTATAGCACCATACACATCTCTGGGATATTGTTTATTAATTCTAAAATGATTTTAAAAACTGCCTGTAGATTTGACTATTGTAAGGCCACTGAACAAAAACAAAGTTACGGTAAGATAATATAGAATATATAAAAGAATATATGAAAAAGCCAGTAAAACCAAAGCTTTGATAAACACCTGACCTTTGCTGTATTGTACTTCCTGGTGAAATACTGTCATTAAGAGCTGAGTTTATATGTCAGCAAAGATTTAAACTGACTTCAAGACTTAAACACATACTAAAATTGTGCTGTTTATCATATACAAAGCAGCGAATCACTGGATACGATTTTGACAGGATGGCCATGGCTCCCCCCTGGCCCCCCACCTTGACAGCGCCCCTGGGCCATCATCTAAAACCATTTTAGGCTATTGCTTTCATTCCTCTGTCCTGGTAAACGACATTCAACTATTTGACGTTTACACACACAGTGAACTCTTAATTGAAAAATGTTGTGGCATACCACGTAAAATATAGTAAATATATATTACAGGTTATTTGTAAATGAGATATATTTATGATTTTTAACTCAGACAAGCAAGACCATGAAGACAGTAAGTCAGTCTGGGTACAAGGTCTCAATGCATTGTCAATCACTGCCATCTTCTGGAAAATCAAGTTTTTACAGCTCAGTCTAGCTCAGGCAACTTTTAAAAAAATATTATGCAGAGGGAAACACATCTGGACATTTTATTGTCTTAACAAGTGTATTTACATGGTCCCCCAAAACTTTTTTACAAGTTCTATGAACCTGCTCGGTGTCCATTAATTTATGATGTAGGATACCAGTTCCAGTGAAAGTCTGTCTGTTTACAGTTCTAAATTAATGCGCTGAAATAAATTGAATGAAAACTAAATATATATGTATATTTCATAAATATATGGCAAATGTACTGTACTCATATAGCGCCTTTCTAGTCTTTCAACCACTCAATGTGCTGTACACTACATGCCACACTCATGCCATTTGCACACATTCATACACTGATGACTGCTCACCTGAACAGAAACTACTCATTCACACACATTAATTTGTATTTGCTAAGCATTTGGCTCAAGAGCTGGAAATAAAGACAATTCATTGATTACAACTAAGGCAATAACAAACACAATATATATATATAT